TGGCAGATGCAGTGGTCATGACAGCAGGTAGAGTCCGGCTTCGCAACTCCAGGATTACAAGCAGACCCCGCAAATTCCACCAATTATAATAAAGAACTGAGACAGTCAAAACTGTTATTCGAGACCAGGTAAGAGCGTAGGCCTAGCTAGCGAAATCAGCGACAGTCCGGGCCGAGCGTCTCGTGCTTAGCACTGACAATGTGTTTTCCGAGATTTGCATCATTTTCGCTTCGATCAAGCAAAGCAATGATTGAACTTTGCCTTGAATGATGTCCAGGTGGGAACGTCGGTCTCATGGTTCCGAAGCCATATGTGGGCACTGCCACTGAGGTAAATGCCGACAGTGGCCAGTCTCGTGGCTTCGTCCCATTTGTTCAAGACACTCCCGAGTTCGTAAGTAGCCAGCCAGTCGTCGACGTCGTGATCGTCAGTGCCACTGAATATGCGGGGATCCCACTGACGGACCGCGCCGGAGCACACGATGGCCTGGGAAGCCATAAAAGGAGGGCTTGTGGCAGATGCAGTGGTCATGACAGCAGGTAGAGTCCGGCTTCGCAACTCCAGGATTACAAGCAGACCCCGCAAACTCCACCAATTATAATAAAGAACTGAGACAGTCAAAACTGTTATTCGAGACCAGGTAAGAGCGTAGGCCTAGCTAGCGAAATCAGCGACAGTCCGGGCCGAGCGTCTCGTGCTTAGCACTGACAATGTGTTTTCCGAGATTTGCATCATTTTCGCTTCGATCAAGCAAAGCAATGATTGATTGATATATGGGGTTTAACATCCCAAAAGCACCATATGATTATGAGAGGCGCCATAGTGGAGGACTCCGGAAATTTCGACCACCTGGGGTTCTTTAACGTGCACCCAAATCTGAGCACACGGGCCTACAACATTTCCGCCTCGATCGGAAATGCAGCCGTCACAGCCGGAATTCGAACCCGCGACCTGCGGGTCAGCAGCCGAGTACCTTAGCCACTAGACTACCGCGATGGGGCTTGCAAAGCAATGGTTTTAAAATCCAGGCCGATCCGAGAAGTGATGAGAAAGCACCTGGAGACACCAGAATTGGTCATACTGCCTCACAAGAACACAGATCACGACGAAATGTGGAGAGGACAGGGGCTCTTAACCTGTTCACAAAAACAAGCCATTCAGAGGTAACAAGAACAAATGATTTATTCAATACAAATGATCAGTTGCCATGAAGGTGAAATGCATCCTCACCGCTTAATTTCATTTACATCTACTGATTCTTCCACTATGCCAAGCTTGCATTTTACTATTCCTCTACGCACGCATATATGCTGTCGACGCTGTGTGAACGTCGTCCGCAGCCAGGTATCTGTGCTAGCACATCTTGCCCATGTCGCTGTCAGAATCTTTAAAACAGCATGGTCAGCATCTCCTTTATTGAGGTACGGCACACGCTCAGTGCATTTCGCAGCTGCCGGTTGTCTTGTCCGCGAAGTTCTCTAACAGTATCAAAATATTTAGTTTTCTCTGTATCCCTTTTAATCCCTCCCTCTCCATTCCCTTGTAAACAACTGCAAAGGTGTCCCACTTTGCTGGAGTCAGTTGCTAGGCTCACTTTTTTTTTTCTCATTTACTCTTTTAAAATCACTACCCCCCCCTTTTTTTTTGGTGCAGTCTGTTCTTGTGAGATTAACATTCAATGCACCGTGGATACACAGTGAGAGGTGTACATTGCATGCACAGTACAGTCCTACCTGGAAGCTTTTACAACCAAATGTAGGAGCTCTCCATGACAAAAACATTCCTTCTTGGGGTATGTGAAATGCCTTTAGTGTCAGTCACATTCAGCTGTTTCATGACATGTTTGCAAGTGGTGTGGTTGAAAACGGTGCTCGAAATTATCGCAGACTGAATAGTGAAGGACAAATCATCCGAAGCATTGCTGCCTTATGGTACGACAAATACTCAGGATTTTTAGGCGAACCAACACAATGAATGCAACTGTATTGAAGCCACTGCCAGGCGACATCTCCAGTAGGCACCACGATGACAAGACTGAGATCACTGACGTCGTTGTTACTCGACCATTGTCACTCAACATCTGGGGCAGGGGCTTGGTAAACCGCTGAACGCGTCACAATACTTTCAGTTGCAGAGTGCCGAGTGCCTGTTGAGCTTTCGTTCACTGTTTGCCCTCAAAATAAAATAAAATTTACATAATGAAGGCATCTTTTGCGCACCAAACTATCGAGTGAAGGCCATACCTCGAGTTTGAAATTTTGTGTCACGGCTCCTTTAATCTCCTCTGCCCACCTAATCTTATGTCTCCCCTTCCTGCGTTTGCCTTCTGTGGGAATCCAGTAAGTCGCCCTTGATGACAAGCGGTTATCCCTGCCTACGTGCCCGGCTCATGCCTTCTTGATTTCAACTATGATATTTTTAACCCTGGTTTGTTCCCTGACCCACTCTGCTCTCTTCTTGTCTTTTAAAGTTACACATTTTCTTTCCATCCTTCTCTGCATCGTTTTCAATTTAAGCTGAATCCTCTTTGTAAGTCTCCAGGTTTCTGCTCTGTAGGTAAGTACTGACAAGGTGCAGCTGTAATATATCTTCCTCTTCAGGGTTAGTGGCAGATTACCATTCATGATCTGAGAATGCTTGCCGAATGTGCTCCGCCTCATCTTTATTTTTGCAGTTATTTTGCTCTTATGGTTCGGCTTCGCGGTTACTACCACTCCTAAGTAGAGATTTTCCTTTACAACTTCCAGCGTCTCACCACCTATCGCAAAGCGCTGCTCTCAGCTGAGACTGTTTCACATTACTTTAGTTTCATGCCTATTCATTTGCAGACCCAATCTTTAGCTGGAACGAGCTAAATCCAGGAACGCAGGCATTAAAAGACCCCTGACAGTGGAAGTTTTGTTCGCGACTTTTTTACAGCGATTTGTAACTTTGCATAAGGTAATGCTGAAATTGAGTTGTAATGCTCTAATGCATCGTATATTTAATGCTAGCATCTTTAATTCCAAATAGTATCGTTACTTCAGAAAAATATTGCGTTGGTTTGATACGCCTGCCCCAATACCATAAGAAATGAGCGCCCCACACAGGGGCAGCGCGTGCGCTCAAGCTTTGGTGACGCTGTGTTCGCCGTTTTCAAATAGGTGGACCCACGAGTAGTGAAGAATGAAACGATGCAGGTGATTTGAGGGCAGCCCCCTCAGAAAAAAGAGAGCATTCCTGTTGTAAGCAGCCAAAACCACCTTGAGAGCAGCCAGACAACAAAGCGAGAGGGGTGACGAATGATAGCCCTTGTCCTGTGCCAGTCTGGGTATTGTGCACACTCGCAAATGTTCTCTGATGACAACAATCCTTGCTTGACCTCTTAAATGTCACAAGGGGGTCGCTGTCTACATCTACGTCAAAACACAGAAAATGTCGATTGCACCTGCATATTCAGATGAATATGTACCCTTACTTTAAAACCAAATTAAAATATCTTATTGGCAACGCTCATCACTAATATAATCAGTCAGAAGTGGCCCTGCATGCAGGACCATCAAACAACACATATATCTCGAGTTTTCAAATTTGGTGTCAGGGGCCTTTCGAAGTAACATCCTTTGTGACAGCATTGCTAGGTGTGCCCAGTGCTGGTTAAGCTATGTGTTCAGAGGTGACACAAACCTCTTCGAGCGGTTTTACAAGTTGCCAACCAGATCCATGACATCTGCACTTAAAACAGCAAGAAAAGTGGCGAGCAATGACTGTAGCAAGCTATGAGATCATTTGGCAATCACAGTACGTTGGACCCTTATCTTTTCAAGGGCCTTTTGTCAAGTTTGGCTAGTTTGAGCAGACAAGCACAACGCTTGCACTGTGCACTCACGATTGTGTCTGCCAAGCACTACATCACTAGGCACTGCGGAAGACTTTCAAAGTGAACACTGTCTGCTCTTTTCCTTGCGAGTGTCATGCTCCAAGACAGGGCGATGACGTATGTCACACCAGGTGTGTTATGTAAATGAAGGCACTGCATTGCGCACCAAAAAGAGTCGCGATGACCTTCTCGTTTGCAACCAGAGCGACATGTGAGGAGAACGTCAAACATTTTGCCACAGCAAAAACTCTGCAGAGTATCGTGACGTATCTGTGATGTGCTGATGCACCCATTATTTTCCGGCTCTAGTATGATAGAGTACAGTGAAGAAGTTAGGCTGGTGAAGGCTAGACAGGGCAAGGGTGCAAAGCTCGCCACCTTAAACTAAGGCTGCACGCCACTTTGAAATATTTCTTGCCCCTGCTTTCGATGGGCAAACTTGGAAATTTCAGGGCTACAATGCTCTCAATCGCTCAGATAACAGCTTTCAGTCCATAACTAAAATTTTCTTAAAAAGGGGCCTGCAACCCTTTCCCAAGTAACCATCAAATGGCTTCATTAAAAGAGTTTATTGACTCAAGAATCGGCTACAGCAAGAATTCTTAGAATCCGTTAAGAGCGATCAGAGTTACAGCGATCTGTTGCATGCTGCAATTGCTTCCTCACTTTTCCCATCCCGACGAGCGCAATGGAAGCTAAAGAGGCTGTGTTGAAAGGTCAGTGTGTTCCTGAAAGAGTTATGTTACGAGGTAAGATGCTTCGCACTGCCAAGTGTGCCCTCACCTGTAGATGTTAGTTTGTTTCAAAATTTACCAAATTCTTGAAAGTTGCAATCCGTGAGTACACTACATCTTCTTTCCCTCCATCAACCTCTTGCAGATATAATTATCTTTTTTTAGGTGATTTGAATATTTCAGATTGTTTCACAGTTCCCTTCAAGTTCAATGTATTAGTCGACAAATGTATATGGATAAGAAATTAGCCTGAAAGCAATACAGTAACTATAGAAGAACGATGGCGGCATCAGGACAGGGACAGCATAATAGGTGGGAAGCCCACCACGGACCCAGCTCCAAGCTTTTTAGTGCTGCAGCAGTAATAACAATAAAGAAAAGCAGACAGAAAAAATGGCAGTGCTTACTCGTTTCCTGGTAGCAGCCAGTTGAGGGTTTCCTCCTTGTCGAGCTTTCTGTCCCCGTTCTTGTCATAGTCCACTTCGAACCGCTCCTTTTCAGCTAGGTACTGCTCGTTGCTTAGAGGCTTGTCTGGGTCCTCAGTTGTGAACTCTTCAAGGCTCAGGTAGCCATCCTTGTTCACATCCTTGCGCTTCATTGTCTCTTCGTACAACGTCTGGAGAAAGAGGAACTTGCTGTCAATGTGATCTAAGCAGCAGAACTGATCAAACATGCGCTGTCAATTACATTGTGAGCTACCATAAAATTCCGAGCCAGTGTCCTGTCCTATTTTATCTCTTTACATTTCTGCGCCGTTCGGAAAAAGTGTTCCTTCTTCCTGATTTGCACCTTGATTGCGCACTGTATCTGGGTGACACTGACCAGCTTGAATCAAATACAATCCTGATTTGATCAAATACGATCCAAAAACGCCCATTTTTTGTAAATGAGCATTTGACGCAGAAGGGCAAGGCATTGCTTGCAGCGGCAATACAAAAAAAGAAAGAAGCCGCATGGAAATTTGTCTGGACATCTGGTGGCAAAGTCCTTGCACGCAAAGATGAAGGATCACGAGCGCTACACATTGCGGATGAGACAAGCCTGGCTAAAATTAGAAATTAGATGTGGCATGTGTCATAACAAATTGAAAAACATTCCACTATGACTGATCTTGTAAATAACCAAAAGTATTACAGTGTTGAAGACTTTAATAGGGTATTTCAATCCGGAAAAGGCTTGTTTAAAGCATTGCATATAAATTGTAGAAGCATAAAAAGAAAGGTCAACGACATTGCTAATTTTATATGGTCTATAGCTATCGGATTTGATGTGCTAGTTTTCTCCGAGACATGGATTACTTATAAAGAAGATGCGCCGTTCTTTCCAGGCTATAGTCATGAACTTCTCGGTCGTAACCAGCAAAAAGGTGGAGGTCTTGCTGTTTATTTTAAGGATACGCTTTCGAGTGAACTGCTTGATAAGTATACTGTTATGAACGATGATGTTGAATGCATTACAATGTGTGTTGGCCCATTCATAGTAATTGGTGTATATAGGCCACCACATGGCCACAAAAAGAAATTTATTGAGTTTCTTAATGTTGTGTTATCAGCTGTTTGCGGGAATACTCCTTGCATAGTCATGGGTGACATAAACATTGACCTCTGTTCCAATGATCCTTATGCCAAAGATTTTGAAACGCTCTTACTTACATATGAAAATACAAATTTCATACGTTCACCTATTAGGATTACATCAACAAGTGCTACGCTCCTTGATATATGCACCTCAAATTTAAGTTCACAGAATATAAAATCCGGGGTATTTGCGTATGACGTAAGTGATCATATGCCCATCTTCTTTCTTGCACGGTTTACTTCTCAAATTGGTCAGAAAACAGAGACATCTTTCCACCAAATTAAAAACAGCAAAACTCAGGAACATTTTTTTCAGCTAGTTCAGAACATAGATTGGAACACTGTTTATAGACAAGAAAATCCTGATGATGCTTATAACACATTCATGAGGTTATTGAGTGCTAGCTATGATGCGGCATTTCCACTTCAGAAGCGCTCACGTGGCAGAAATAAGAAATGCAGAAAGCCTTGGATAAATCGTGATCTTTACCGGCGCATAAAAATAAAGAATAAATTGTATCATGATTTTATCCGTTCGCGGAACACGGACGCCTTAGCTGAGTACAAGAAATACAGAAACGTTTTAAATTCAGAAATACGGAAGGCTAAACAGAACTACTATGAAAAATTATTTGAAAGCATTTACAATGACCAGAGGAAGCTATGGGAGGTCATAAATGGGCTTACGAACACAAATAAGGGTTGTAATAGGACACAGGACCTAACAATTAATGGGCAGATTTTCAGTGATGAAAGGTTGGCCAATGTTATGAATGAACATTTCATAAATGCGGGTTCCTTTATTTTAACGGATGAAAAGCGAGATAATGCTCCAACTCCTGATAAGTCTCCTTTGCCGTATTCTATTTTTCTCGCAACCACAGATCCGGTTGAAGTAGAAAGATTAAGCAGAAAACTTAAAAACAATGTTGCATCAGGGATTGATGAGATAGGTTCTGTTGAGTTAAAAATGGTGTAACCAATGATATCTAATGTCTTGGCCTATATTATCAACCTCACCCTCACTAACGGTGTACTTCCAGAGCAGTTAAAAGTGGCAAAAGTCACTGCAGTACATAAAGGTGGTGATATCAATACTTTAGCAAACTATCGACCTATATCCGTGCTTCCAACAATATCAAAAATATTTGAAGGGGTTATAGTTAAAAGTGGCAAAAAGTCACTGCAGTACATAAAGGTGGTGATATTGTCACGGGGTCGTGACGTGGCCGAAGACAGGAGACTTCTTGTTGGGATTTAACTGTTTATTTGGGCGAACCTGTGCCCGGTAAACAGAAAGTCCAATTACAGCAGCAGTCTCGCACAGATAGCAGTCTCAGACTGATAGCGGCGAACGGAGCGTCGGCCTTCGATCAACAACTGACAAGCGGCGAAGCGCGTCGGCATTTATACTCCCGCCGTCGAATGTTCTAGCGCTATTGCTGGCGGCGGCGTACGTTCCAGAACAATCTGTACCATTCGCACAGTGGGCGTGATCTTATCGAAATGATCTACTACAGTCCGGAACCCTCTCGAAAACTGCAGGCGCGGTTTGCGCTGAGAATCGTGTGGTGTTTTGGGACGATAACAAAAACTTGGGAAATGGGACGTGGCATTGCCCCCCTCTGAAAAAGGCATCGTCTCGATGCTTTAACTAAAGATGAAGGTACAATAATAATGCAAGAAAGTACAATGAATAAATTACGATACAACAATAATACAAAATAACACTGTTTCAGTTTGTTAACGCGCATGAAACGGCTTGAGGCGTGCGACATGGACGACTTCAGGTCGCGATCGGCGTCGTTGAGAGTTCGTGATGCCGTCGGGGACAACCTCGTAATCAAGTGGGCTGAGACGTCGAACCACCCTGTACGGTCCGAAGTACCGTCGCAGAAGCTTTTCACTTAGTCCACGTCGGCGTATCGGCGTCCACACCCAAACACGTTCACCGGGCTGGTATTCCACGAAGCGTCGTCGAAGGTTGTAACGGTGGCTGTCGGTCGTCTGTTGATTCTTGATACAGAGCCGCGCAAGTTGTCGGGCTTCTTCGGCGCGATGAAGGTACTCGCTCACATCGAGGTTTTCTTCGTCGGTGACGTTGGGTAACATGGCATCGAGCGTCGTTGCCGGGCTCCTTCCGTAGACCAATTTGTATGGAGATATCTGCGTCGTCTCCTGCACCGCCGTGTTGTATGCGAAGGTCACATACGGAAGAATGGCATCCCACGTCTTGTGTTCGACATCGACGTACATTGACAGCATGTCGGCGATCGTCTTGCTAAGCCGCTCGGTGAGGCCGTTGGTCTGTGGGTGGTACGCTGTCGTCCGGCGGTGGTTTGTTTGGCTGTATGCCAAGATCGCTTGAGTTAAGTCGGCAGTGAATGCCGTTCCTCTGTCGGTGATAAGGACCTCCGGGGCGCCGTGACGTAGGACGATATTTTCGACGAAGAACTTAGCTACCTCGGATGCACTGCCTTTTGGCAGGGCTTTTGTCTCGGCGTAGCGGGTGAGGTAGTCGGTAGCTACCACGATCCACTTGTTTCCGAAAGCCGACGTCGGGAACGGCCCCAGTAGGTCCATACCAATCTGCTGGAAAGGTCGGCAAGGTGGATCAATTGGCTGCAGAAGTCCCGCTGGCCTTGTCGGCGGTGTCTTGCGTCGCTGACAGTCCCGGCATGTCCTCACATAACGAGTGACGTCGGTGGTAAGACGCGGCCAGTAGTACCTTTCTTGTATCCTCGCGAGCGTGCGAGAAACACCGAGGTGCCCTGCCGTCGGATCGTCGTGCAGGGCCTGCAGGAGTTCTGGTCGCAGAGCTGAAGGCACCACAAGGAGATACTTAGCCCGAAGCGGTGAAAAGTTTTTCTTTTGTAGAAGACCGTTTCGTAGAAAAAACGACGCAAGTGCGCGCTTGAATACCTTCGGGACTTCGGCGGTCCTGCCTTCGAGGTATTCTATTAGGGCCTTAAGTTCCGGGTTGGCCCGCTGTCGTTCAGCGAAGTCGTCGGTAGTTATCGTTCCCAAGAAGTAGTCGTCATCCGGGTCGTCGGGTAGCGGTTGGTCGACAGGCGCACGAGAGAGACAGTCGGCGTCGGAGTGCTTTTTGCCAGACTTGTAAATGACAGTAATGTGATATTCTTGAAGTCTCAGGCTCCATCGTGCGAGGCGACCTGAAGGGTCCTTCAAAGTGGCTAGCCAACACAAGGCGTGGTGGTCGCTCACAACTTTGAAGGGCCTGCCGTAGAGGTATGGGCGAAATTTCGACGTAGCCCAGATGATGGCGAGGCACTCCTTTTCTGTTGTGGAATAATTTGCTTCTGCTTTGGATAGCGATCGGCTGGCGTAACTAATAACCCTTTCAAGTCCGTCAGCCATCTGCACAAGAACGGCGCCAAGACCTACGCTGCTTGCGTCAGTATGTATTTCTGTCTCGGCGAATTCGTCGAAATGGGCAAGTAACGGAGGCGTCTGGAGGCGATGTTTAAGCTCCTGGAAAGCGTGTTCCTGTGGCGTTTCCCACTTGAACTCCACGTCGGCCTTGGTAAGGTTAGTGAGAGGATCGGCGATGCGGGCGAAGTTTTTCACGAACCGCCTATAATAGGCGCACAGGCCCAGAAATCGGCGCACGGCTTTCTTGTCAGTGGGCGGCGGGAATTCGGCGATGGCGGCTGTTTTCCGTGGATCCGGACGAACTCCAGACTTGCTGATAACGTGCCCCAGAAACAAGAGCTCTTCGTACGCAAATCTGCACTTTTCTGGCTTCAGTGTGAGTCCGGAAGTCTTGATGGCTTGAAGTACAGCTTCAAGGCGCCGAAGATGCTCGTCGAAACTCGAGGAAAACACGACGACGTCGTCCAAGTACACAAGGCAAGTCTGTCACTTCAATCCTGCCAGTACTGTATCCATAACGCGTTGAAAAGTTGCAGGCGCTGAGCAAAGGCCGAAGGGCATCACCTTAAACTCGAAGAGGCCGTCCGGTGTTATAAACGCCGTCTTCTCTCGGTCTCTTTCGTCGACTTCGATTTGCCAATAGCCA